CTATTGGTCCTTGCCAACTGAGAATCCATTTCCATGGGTGTTTTGCCCTGAGGAAACCCACTGGACGGTTAGTGGTTAGTCATATGCTGAACTGAGACTAGGCTGCACGACTCTTGACAGATATCTATACTTTTATCTGTGGGTATAAGAATGAATATTCAGAATGCAGCTAGGGCTTATGTCCCTTTAGTAAAGTGGTGGTTGTAGGGTCTCTGCAAAGATCAATGGCTTCACTAGTCCTGGGTAGTTGGCTAACTTTCTAATACCAGGCATGTTTGAGTGAGTCTTAAGTCCACGTAAAAGACAATTGGTTCCTGCCAAGGTATGCATACCACTGCTACACCCTTAGGGTTATTGCACCGTGCTGGTCTTCACTGTGGTTCACAGATGTCATAGCTGAGTAGGAATGTTGGTTGCTTCCCTCCTTTGGAAGTTTGCATGGCACCTTTTGGTACTATGAAAGCTACTCCTCAGGGAGGAGGCATTCAAATCAGTTCCAACTCAGGAATCTCCAGGCTTTGTGTCCGAAGTGCAAGGTATCTTCAGCAAAAGGGACTTAACTTTCACTTCTAGGGGGAAACAAGGTAAATAGCAATACCCTGCAATATTTTGGGAGTCTCTTGGGCCCTTCTGACCAACAACTTAAAAGGGGGATTCTCATGCTTGATGTTGGGGATTTTACTAGATAGCCTATGCCTCTTTGGGGGAACATTGCCAACTGAGATGGGAAGATTTCATTTAAGCCATGTATGTATATTTAGAAACAGATGTAGCATGTATCAGAGGTATTTTTAGATAGATAGTTGATGCATGATTCTTTATGACTTTTTCTGATCCCCTTACTGTTATTTTACCCTCCTCCCTCCTTCTGTATTAACCACCCTCCGTTTCCCTAATTAGAGATCCCTCCATTTTCCCACTTCTCCCTTCAAATTCCTTGTTCTCTACTGTTCCCTTCTCTATTTCTAACAGGTGTAGAAGGTTTTCTTCTTATTTTAATCTGAAATTTCTTGGTGACATGTTGAACATATTTTCCACATCCTTAACTACTATCTCTTTGTCTTCTTTGTTTAAAGTCTTGTCCCGTTTATTTTTTCACCTGTATTGTTTTGTTTGTTCTTGTATCGCCAATATTTGGATACTTTGTTTTCGATAATGGCCTAATCAATTTTGTCTCTTACCAAGATTTTCTCCCCATTTGTAGCTTATTTTTATCCCACATTATTTGTAGCTCGTCTCTTCTTTTTGTTTGGATAGTTTTAAGGATTTTATTGAGATTATGCATTTTTGGCAAGAATATCCCAGAAGGGATGTTGTGTCCTGAACATATTATCAGACCATCAATGATCTTAACCAATCTTTTCATGGATGATGTTAGCCTTTTTCACTTAGTGGATGGTATCTGCCAAATTTCTCTCTTGTAAATTTAGTATTTTTACTTTTGTAATTAATAACTATCTTGGGAAGAGTATTTTCAAACTTGTATGTGATGATCTTAGCATGTGTTGGAGGAGTTATTGTTATGATGTTTGCCTGAGGGCCATTTCCTCATTTCATCTATAAGTCCTACTTGGGAATTTATGTAAGAGGAAGCTACCCCTACTCTGTTAATTATTTATGTCCTCATTTATTTAAATTGCTATAGACTCATGTCTATTTACTTTTGACTTACAATACAGTTTGATTATTATTATTATTACTATTATTATTACTTAAATTGTTCCATAAAACATATTTTTGAACTGATAGAAATAATGTTTCATTAAAGAGAAACACTTTTTTAGACCTTGATTTTACTGCAAACTGAGAGCTGAATCATTTTAAATTCCATCACACCCACTATACTGACAATACTTTCTTGCCATCATTCGCCCCTGATAGGTTTTGCTCCTTGACTTATATTTGTCTGTTTTATTTGCAATCTTAGACGCTTTGTGTTTTATCCTGCTTAGATGGAAGTGATGGCCTTTCTGTACAGGGTAGAAATTGCCTGCCTAATATGTTTTTTAGATCTAATTATATGATACGAATTTTATTTATTCTCCAATTATTCCTATGGGTTATTGGTACTAAGAATCTTTTATAAAGTGGAAAAATATTAATAGAACCTAAATAGCATTGGAACTTCCCTTTTTTTCAGTGTTAGGACTTCCTCATGCTCAGCACATCCTATACTACTGAATTACATCCCTAACCACAGTTAATAACCAGTTAAAGTAAGATTAGTGTTAGTAAAATACTTGTGTATGTGTAATATAATAGGCTGCCCCATGCTTAGATTTCTAGCAAACATGATAATTTACAGATAATATATATTTTAATGATTATAATGATTCTTCTAATTGAATGTCTACTATTAACAGTAATATCCAAAATCAGAATTTTTGAGTTCTCAGATGAGATTATATTTTATTTCTGTGCCTTCATGTTTTCTACATTGGGTCATAAATTAGGCTCATATTGTTTCTGAAGAGAATTGAAAATCTGACAGTATATTGTTCATAAATCTTAGACATTATATGTTAAGTTAGATTTTCACATGTGATTTATTGAATCAGTTACATTATTTTACTACCATGCCTAGCAAATTTAGTCATGGTAGCTGACATTAATCCTTGATAAATTAACTTGAATAAGTTAGTATTAATATGTTTTTGTCTAAAACAAGCCAATTCAGCATAATTAATTCTGTTTTTGAAAGTTCAAGAATTGACCTTTAACACTTATTTCAAATTTCAACATCTACACTTTCAAACATATACAGATTGGATGACCAAATACATTACTTTTAAAAAGTTAATTTCAAGCATACACTTTACTTCAATTTAGAAATATTAAATTATATGTTATTTATAAAATCTTTTTTGTGAGTGTGTATATGTGTGTATGTATGTTCACATTAATGTGGGTGCACATGTATGTTTACATGTGTATGGAGGCCAGAGGTTGATATCTAATGTCTTCCTTTATAGTTGTCTGCCTTGTATATTGAGGAAGAGTTTCTCACATGAACCCAGAGTTTACTGATTGTACTAGCCTAGGCCAGCTTCCTCTGGGGGATTCCTCTGCTGCCACCTCCTGAACTACTTATGAAATCTTTTTCCCACAAATACTGTCACCTCACACACTTATTTTGGTATAAGAACCATAATTCATCTTCCTCCTTTATTCCTTCCCTCCCTCCCTCTCTCCTACTGTTCTTTCCTTTCTTTGTTTGGTATTAAACCCTGGGCTTCTTACATGCTAGACCAGTTCTTACCACTGACGTACATCTGTAGCCCTAGATGTGGATATTTATTTTATTTAAGCATCACATTTTAATTTCTTTTAACTTCTAAGAATTAGAAGGCATTAAAGGTCATTTCCTCTAACCTTTCTTGTAATGAAGGAATCTCACTTTATAGGGTGAGCAAGATGACTCAGTGAAAGGTGCTTGCCACCAAGCCTGACAGCCTGAGTTCAATCCTTGGAATCCGTATGGTGGAGAGAACCGACTCCTAAAAGTTGTTCTCTGATCTTCTCAGGTGCGACATGGCATGAACATGCATGCACACATACACACATATGCACACACAAATAAATAAATGTGATTTGAAAAGCAATCTCATTTACAACATCGGCAACAGATGATAGTCTGTGTTTGAATTCTGAAGTGCTGGGGACTCTACCTCTCTCCGGGTAATTCCTTTTACTGTTTGCTGTCTTGCCCTTGTGTATTCTAGGCAAACAGTCTACTGCTGAGCTACACCACCAGCCCTGTGGAATTAGATTGCATAATGATGGTATTGTTTCTTGTAACTTTGCACATTGGTTTGAATCTTATGAATCAACAAATAACTATTCTTTGCTATTGTATAGATTTTGACTTATGAGCCTTAACATTGGGATTTATTTCTCTAGACACTGTGAGAATTTGTAGATCTCTAACCACCCTCATTATCTTATTTTATTATCCATGTTTTTCCTAAGTGGTTGTGGGGATTGAGCCAAGGGTCTTGTGCATGCTTAACATTTGCGCTACTATTGAGCTACACATGCAGCCTTGCCATCCACTCTTTGCCTATGATGAAATATTAAAATCAACCTTAGGATAAGATAAAATATTGGGATCATAAATAGTATATTAATAGTCTTTTAAAGGCCCCCATGGCTCATTTAAAGTCACTAGTAAAATGGAGAAACATTGTGAAACAGAAAACAGAGAAATAAGAAAATTTTTCCTTAGAGTCTAAAACTTTGTATTGTCAATTTTGTTTGTTGACTATGAAAACTCATTTCCTACCTGATGATGGGGTAAGTTTTGCAATGAGACAAGTTGATGGTGATCCTAGTCTCCATGTGGCTAGTTAGCTAATGCTTTCAGATATGTCATTGTGTGTGATGTTGCGGCTCCAACCCAGGGCCTTGCACAAGTTAATCATACTGAGCTAGAGTCTCAGATCCTTTGTGGTCATATTTAATCTTCAAGGTAAGTATTAATTGTTCTCATTTTACAGAAAACAGAAATAATCCTCAAAGATGTCTGACCAGTGAAATGGTATGATTCATGTTCAAATCTGAATCTTGCTGATTCTAGTGACTTTTGCCCACTCCTCTACAGCTTGCTTTTCTAGAAAGTTCCCTTCAAACATTTTTCACTTTTGCTTTGAAGAAGATGTGCCTGTCATTTACTCCCCTGACCTATTATATGTTTAAAGTTACCAGAATCAATACTTCTCTTCCTTTTATGAGAATTCCTCTTTATTTACTTAAATTGGCATCAGATCCTAACCAGATCATGCAGATTATTCTCAACTGAGGAGGAACTAATTTTAAAATTATTTTCAAAAGTGCAAAAAAACCCCTTTGCTTCTAAACTTGATTTATAGCAATGTTACACAACTTTGCAGGTAGAAGTAGAATTTATGAAGTTTTAATTGCTTATAATTACTGCCTTATTGCATGTGGTACTGAGAAAATAATTTGGAGTAACTGAACCTCTTGTTCTCGCTTGTGTGTAGCTTGGTATGGTGGAGTGGATTGAACCTCCTAAACGAGAACGCAAAGCCAACTATGCAGTGGATGCCTACTTTAGAGAGGCTTTGCGTGTCAGCGAGCCAAAGATCCCCAAGGTAAAACTGTACAGGGCCAGTTTTTATATGCTGTTGCAGAAGTCTTTACATCTGGTTTGTGAGTCAGATCTTCTCATATTATTGCCAAATCATAGTTCCTAAAATACAACAATACAGTCAGTACTTGCTATGGGCCAGCCATATGAATGAATTCTGTTGTATTTATTTTTCCATATGTAAAAAATCACTAGAGTTACTTATATCAACTTTGTGCTTCATGAAAACAAGTATGTATGTGTGCATGTAACATAGTTTTTCCTCATAGGCTCCTCGACCTCCAAAACAGCCAAATGTTCAGGATTTTCAATTTTTCCCAACACGTTTATTTGAGCTCCTGGAAAAGGAAATTCTTTATTATCGAAAGACTATCGGTTATAAGGTAATTTTTTCAAATTAATATGATATAATCTTTTCAAAATTGTTTTGTTTTATTTTATTTGTATGAATTTTTTTTCCTGCATGTATGTCTGTGCTCCATGTGAGTGCCTGGTGTCCTCAGAGGCCAGAAGAGGATGTTAGATCTCCCAGAAATTAAGTTACAGGTGATGGTGAGGCACCATGTTGGTGTTAGGGACTGAACCTGGGTCCACTGGAATGACATCAAATTCTCCCAACTACTGAATCATCTCCTCTATTCTCAATATTTTATGTGATATTGTAGAATTCTCTCATAACATGGTTTGTTATTCCAATTTTATTATATTTTTGCCAAATCATACTTACTAAAATATAACAATACAGTAAGCACTAGTTAAAATAGACTATGTACACTAGCTAATATTAAAGAATATAAGAACATATAACAATTTTTTAAACTAGTAGTAATGATTAAGCTATTGAGTCTCTCAAAAGGATCCCCAATGAAATCAATTTGTCTCCAATATTTCAAAACAGTAACATCTGTAATAATGTTATTTCAATAGATTTTGTGTTCAGATCACCAAAGAACATGTAGAAAAAACAAGTATGTGGTTGGAAATAAATTTTGATATATGTTTTAAAAATAATTTTTCTTAGTAGAATTAAGAAACAGTATTTTTGTGTTTATTGCTAATAGGTTAATAAAAGTCTTGGTGGTTAATGGTCACTTAGATATTAAAGATAACAAAATATATGATAATTAGCCATATGATTTTAAAATAAAATTATATTTGGATTTCAAAATTCTTTTTTGCATATGTGGATACAAATTTTAGAATTAAAATTTAGTGCTTGTAATATTGCATCTAAATTATTAAGAAATTAAGAATCCAAGGTTAATTCTGTGTGTGGAAACTGGCTTCCTAGTCAATGGAGATGACTTACTGAAGGTATAAGAATCACTAACATAAAGAAAATTAGAAACGTATCAGCAGAATTGTAATCTCATGAAATTTTTTATTCTATGAGTTGGAAGTTATGTTTCAAAATTTATTTTGTTGCACCTTTATTAGAATTGGAACTTTGATCAAGTATTTTGATTAGTAGCTAGAATGTACCTAGAGAAACTATGTATTCATGATAATTCATTTATATTACATGGGCTAGTTAAAGTATCGTTAGAGAAATGTGGTTAGATTTGGACATAATAATCAAGACCAGAAAGAGTCATTTTTAGGAAAGTGTAGCAGAATAAAGTAGCCACGTTTGACTGCTCAGGTTATGCATGAGACCACTTGCAAAGAAAGTGAACACACTGTAGAAAAAATGAAAAATACAAGCTGCAGAGAGTTATTAAATAGTTAACTTATTGAGATAAAAAACATAAAGCACTTCATTGAGGTTTATAATTGTTCTTGGTCATAGAACATTATTTTCAGCTTCTTTTATTGACTGTTATCAGTAAGACTTGAAGGGAGAATTAGTTGAAATTCTAGGTTTTGAGTACTAAATGAAACAGTAGTGTAGGATATTTTATAATTTATATAATGCCTCAACATATATCCCATTTGATCCTAACAACCTCATTATATAGGTTTGATTGTCTGCTTGTAATTGGTAGGGAACTGGAGTTCAGAAAGGTTCAGTTACTTTGTGCAAGGTCATGTAGATAATGAGGTTCCCCTGCTGTCTCAAACCCACTTATTAGACTTTAAATACTGTGCTCTTAAATACTGTGCTCTATCCAGATAGCCTCGGCTGTTTCTGCATGTGATATAACCTTGTTTGTTTCTGCAGTCCTAAAGAAGGACTGTGTTTATTAGTGGTGTGACATGTCATTTGGGAGGTGGGCCAAGTGGTAGTCAAGTAGCAGCAATAAAAGATCATCTCGTATAGTGGAACTGTTTATTTTCCTTCTTTGGAGATAGTGTGAGTTCCCTGTGAGAATTCCAGTGCCCACCACATTCGGGCCACAGGCTCAGTTAGAATGTAAACAGTGCCTTTCATTACAGGCAGTTTAGAGTTGGGTCTCAGAATAATTGTTTGGGTAGTGGCCAGCTGGAAGAACGTAGAGGAGGGAAGAAGCCTTATAAGACAGGGTAATGAATGGGCAACTGCAAGGTAAGAGAGGAAGGGGGAGGAGGCATAAGAGGAGAACAAGAGAATGAGTAGGAAGAGGAAGATAGAAAGATGCTATGGAGTTTGCATTCTTGCACTTTACTGTTTAATTTTTCCCTCACCTCCCAGAAAGTGTTAGAGAAAGAAGAACGAAAGCGGGACTGACTGTTTAATACCTATTCACTGAGCACTGCTTTGTGTTAGATGCGGTGATAGACACTCGGGAGAAAGCGATAAATAAACTTGGCTGCTGGACTCCTTCCATGACGGGACACAGACATGCTCCTGGAACAGGCCTGTTCTTGTTAACTGTCCCTTTGCTGTGGTGCCCCTGCTGAATGAAACTGCCATCTGCCTGTGCAGCACATTTGCAAACTGATGGAGAAGGGCCTGACTCCTTCGACTCAGAATGGTCTTTAGAGGCTCACATGGTATCACACAGTGCCTTTTGCGATGGGTAATCAAATTTTTGGAATCCATCAGTCTAAAAGACTTACTCTCAGTCTTCCTGAAGATCATTTCTATTTAACTAAGGAAATAGTTGTTGTTGGTAGACATCTTGAGGGAAACTGAAAGTATAAGGGCACTAAATCCCATCTGATTCTGATAGACAAAATTTATTCCTTAACATGATACTATCAGTACTATCACTATCCATTGGGAATATAATTAATCCACAGCCTCTACCCTCGTGGCATAAGTTCGTCTATGTACTCAAGCGGTAAAACCATTGTAATAATAATAGTAGCAATGATAATGATACCAACAATAACAACAAATGAAAATGACAGTAAGGAAAATGACAAGACTCTGAGAATTTAGATTATAATGCGGAGACATACATTAAACAGACACCACAATGCAGTGGTATTATTTGTGCTCACAAAGGGTGCTGCCAGCAAGTATAATTGGTGTACAAAACAGTCTGGAAGATGAAGGCAGTGCTCGCTCTCCAAGGAGCTGCCACTTAAGCTGAGATCTACTTGATGATAGCATTGAGTCTGTATATTTTGACTGAGACACCATGTTTTCTGTGGGAAAGAGGCGGCACTTTCTCAGAGGTGGAGCATGAGATATGTAGTGCTCACAAAGAGGCTGAAATTTAGCTTTGGAGTAAAGGACCCCACCAAGATACCTTTAAAACATGATAAAATGATACTGATCTAAGCATTCCTTGTGTTTCATGATGTTCCAAGTTCTGTATAAATATTCAATGGGCATCCTCTTTGGAGGAACTATATCTATATTTTACAAATGAAGAACTTTTCTCAGAGTTGTAGGCCTTATGAGAGGTAAAAGATGAACAGATTTACATTTTGAAGAATTATTTAATTTTTTTGTGTGTTCCTGTGCATTCTTATGCCCACAGGAAGAAGTCATACCATGACTTTCTGGAGTTGGGTCTCTTCTTTTATTATGTGGCACCCAAGAACTGAACTTACATTGTCAGACTTCTGGGGCAAGCACCTTTACACGCTAACAATCTCATTGACCCTTGATTTATATTTTCTGATATATTTAACTTTATTTTATGTACAGTGGTGTGAAGGTGTCAGATTGCCCTGTAACTGGATTTACAACCACTTAGGAGCTTCCTTATGGGTGCTGGAAATTGAACCCGGGTCCTCTGGAAGAGCCGTCAGTGCTCCTAACCACCCAGCCATCTCTCCAGTTCTTGATTTATATTTTCAGATTATTATCCTGGATGTTAAACAAGGAACAGAGCATTTATTAGGAAAATCTCCCAGAAAACTGTTGAAATATGAAAATAAAAAATGGTGGTGACAATATGGACCATAACTGTGGCAGGCATGGTGTTGGTGACGGCAGGAGAGCCATTTTCCTGCCGCTCTGTCCCTACCTTTGTGCTCTCTTCAGTACAAAGTGCCACCACACTTTCTAAAGATTTGCTGTGAGTCTTATTAGGAATTCCTAGCAGAGGATTTAGCAGTCAAATACCACATTCCGGATGTTGACTCTTTCTGAACTTTGTTTCTTCCATTATTTCCTAAGAACTATGGGCTTTAGCTAAGGTGGATTATCTATCTAATTGGAAGGGTCTCATGTTTGAGTTCAGAGTACAGACAGATCAGCATGGCACGTTAATCATCTCCAGACCTAAAGGATAGGGCTGAAGAAATGGCTCAGAGGTTAAGAGCACTGATTGCTCTTCCAGAAGTCCTGAGTTCAATTCCCAGAGCAACCACATGGTGGCTCACAACCATCTATGATGAGATCTGATGCCCTCTTCTGGTGTGCAGGCAAAATGCAGATAGAACACTGAATACACAATAAATACATTTAAAAAAAGGCTTGGCAGTGGTGGCACACACCTTTAATTCCTACACTACAGAGGCAGAGGCAAGTGGATCTCCATGAGTTTGAGGCCAGCCTGGTCTACACAGCGAGTTCCAGAACAGTCAGTCAGAAACCCTGTCTCAACCCTCCCCTCCCTAAAAAACAAACAAACAAACAACAAAAAGCAACAACAACAACAAAAATAGATTTTTGGCCAGCAGTGGTGGTGCATGTCTTTAACCCCAGCACTCAGGTGGCAGAGGCAGGCGGATCTGTGAGTTTGAGGTCAGCCTGGTTTACAGAGCGAGCTTCAGTACAGGCACCAAAACTACACAGAGAAACCCTGTGTTGAAAACCCACCAAACCAACCAAAGCCCATAGTTTTATATGGTGCACCTTCTCAAGAAATACCTAGGATATTGTGTGGAAGTATGTGAATCCCCAAGAGTCCAAATAAAAAGATATCACAGATTTATTAGGAAACACAAATAACAACAAGGTAGAGAGCTGCCACAGTTTTCTGTTCTGCCCTGGGTTGAATGAAAGCAGCAACCCAATGTTCCACCACTACACGAGAGAGTGGGAGCCTGCCCCCGCTTTCTC